TATTTATTTGATTATTCGAGTATGTATACTATTTCAGTCTTTCTAATTCAAAATGTGTTACTTGCTGTTTCTTTGCAATTAATTGTGAAATTTACTAGCAATTTATGAGTGAAACTTGCTTCTATACTATTTTTTCATTGTAAGCTAAATAAGTTGAAGTACTAAAATGAAAATAAAGCTAAATAAAGTAAATACAAACTAAAAAGTATTAGTAGTTATTACTATTACTAAAAAGTCCATAGTAATAAATGGCAACAATTAAAAATAAAATGAACACTAACAAAAGCACAACATTTCTAAAACTCAAAAAAAAAAAAAGCTAAATCAAAATAGTAATAAATACAGTAACGCTTACAGTACAGTAACATAATAAGGCTCCATGAGTTCAAATTAGTTAACATAACTAACACGAAGTAGTAAAAGTAGTAAATGATTAAATTAACACTAACTAATATTAATAAATGTTACCAAAAACACTACAACAGTAAGGGAATGTTTCCTACACGACTTCAATGTAGAAATACTTTCTGAAGTCAAGATCGCAGGATAATGTCAGTAGTGACAATAATGGCACAAACCTCACCACAACCTCATTATAAAGTTAATTTGTCAAACACGTCTGATTAATATTAATACCAGAATTAAGACTCACTGGGTTTCTCTCTCATTAACACCTCATAAGGTGTTAGTCAATCCATGAACACCAACATATCAATTTTCTAACCTTTCATAGCTGGAGCTCTTGAATGTCTGGAAGTGACGTCATTGTTTCTAAAGAAGCTAAAATAAACATGGAAATACTCTAACATGACCGTCACGGGAAAACCAATTCAATGTGCTGTGTCAACAAAATTTGTCTTAATAAAGCACATTTCAGTGCATGCTATTCTAAAATGTTTCAACAAACGTAACAACTTGCTCCTGTTTCATTAGGAAAATATATCACAGAAATCAAAACACAAAAACTTAATCTGAAATGCAAGGGGATATGCCTAGTTAAGAGCAGTCTAAATATTTATCAGAGTGAGAACACAGTAATGTGTGTTCAGTAAGCACCTGTTGAGCCCATCTGGACACAAATGACACACGGTTTCTATTGATCTCCCCTGACATGAGGAGCTCCGGATGAACGTGGCGGGTCATTGATGGGTTAGATGAGAGACTGGGAATTAAGCCCTATGAAATGTGCTCCACTTATGTAGCCTATAACCTGACGGCAGAAAGCAGCATGTTCAGATCATATCACAAAACACATGTGGCATGCAAGACTAAGCGTTTTTAATGTAACTGTAACAGGAGAAAATTAAATAAGTGTCTTCTGCTCACCAAGGCTGCATTTATTTGATCAATAACACAGTAAAACATGAAATATTATTACCATTTATAATAACTATTTTCTTTTTGAATATACATTAAAATCTAATTTATTACTCCTGTGATGCAAAGCTGAATTTTCAGCATCATTACTCCAGTCTTCAGTGTCACATGATTTTTCAGAAATCATTCTAATATGCTGATTTGCTGCTCAAGGAACATTTCTGACGTTGAAAACAGTTGTGGAAACAGTGATACTTTTTTTTTTTTGATTCTTTGATGAATGGACAGCATTTATTTGAAATGGAAATCTTTTGGAACATTATAAATGTCACTTTTGATCAATTTAATGCATTCTTCAGGGATTCTGTAGATCTTCATTCACCATTCCACAATTTAAGGCCTTTAAAAGCTATTAAATCAAGTCTTAAATTCATGAAGTTGTGGAATTAAATGTTGCATGCATTAAAATGATGAAAAATTCCGAAAAGATTTAAGAAACTTTTTTTCTGAGAAACTGGGGAAAAGGTATTATTTAAATTTTTTTTAAATTTGTATTAATTAATTTTATTTATGTATTTGTTTGTTTGTTTGTTTGTTTATTGTAAACATATGTCAATGTCAATTTTATTTCTATAGCACAACTAAACACAACAACAGTTGACCAGTGTGCTTTATACCAATACAAGAGACCGTAAAAAAACAAACAAAAAAACAATATATATATATATATATATATATATATATATATCATTGTATAATTAAGAAAATCATAAAAGCAAAAATTGGAGGATTTAGCCTTCTCTCCCCCTTAAGGAACCTGACGACCAGGTC